GTTGTGGAAGAAAGGAATAGTAAACTTGGGATACTTTGTCCAGGTTTGGTCCCTTGATTTACATATCCGATCCCTGTACTTCTTTAATTAATTTATTCATGTCCTTTTGTTTGTGTTCCATTCAACTTCCCATTTTTTTGGCAGAATTGGTCCCTGTATTATTGTTGGAAGTTAGGAATACTAGATTTGGATGTTTTTTGGCAACTTTGGTCATTATTCTTTACCCATTTTGACACTTTTGGTCCTTGCAATCAATATTTTTACAGTTTGGCCACAAAACTTTAACGGTTTGACAACTTTGATCCCTTTTCTAAAAAGTTGCTAATTCCTATCTTTAGTCATTTTCACACTTCTGGTCCTTGCAGTCAAAACTTTTACATTTTTTTTTCCGGGGCAAAGCCCGGACTTTGCATCCTTGCACTTTCTATGTCTGTCATATTTATCAATTCGGAAACAACATTGAAAGTTTCTGGCCCCCGCGTAGCGGGGGTAACCTTTCTAGTTTGTATTAGAATTTATCATGAACTACATAGCACTCTTATCACATTACTAGGTTAACATAATCACATTACATGATTGGCATAATCACATGTGATTGTCTATTGACCTATTTTGACTAGTGTTACATATATAAAGGAGAAATATGATATTATTTAAAATAAGGACCTAAAATGACCAAAATGCCCTCACATGGAGGGCACGTGATGGCATTAACGGCTCCAAACAAACGGACAATTACGGAATGGACTAGAAACCCATGAAAACCTTGATTTTGAACCTTCGGTGCAAGCTGAAAACTTTTTGCACCCCATCCAAAGGTTTTGGCAAACCACAATGACCAAATTTGCAGTTTTGTCTTAAAATAATTACAATGTTTTAAATACTGTTAATACAAATATTATTATTTTAAAGTTAATAAAAAATACATAATTATTTTTAATAACATATATTTATGTTATATGCACTACAAGACATTAGCCTTTGCATATCACAAGACGTTCTAGGAATTGAAGAAGCAATGTTGATGGAGATAGTGGAGTGGTAACGCTTGAAATCCTGACTATCTAGAGGGTTTTCCATAGGGATCATAAGTTTGGACGATAAATGTTGTGTGATAGCTGAAACTGTGAAACCTCGTTACATAAACATAAATTTCCATAATTTCAGTGGCTAGGACAATAAGCCCCTACCAACCTCTTTTTAGACTAGGTTATCCTCATGCTTTGATTGTTGACATCAAAGGAAATAGCCATTTTGTTTCACTGTCGCCATCAATTTATTCTTCAACACAGTCGATCGCACAAAGGTGTTCCCGTAATCTGAAAGAAAGGTGTGTTAACTCTCAACACTATAGATCAGAAAACCCTACACGATCATGTCGTCGGATCGACATGCTGCCTCCAATTCTGCATCTCCCCAAGACAACAATCTGTAAGTTGTGTATTCTCCTTTTTTTTTTCAGTTTGATTGCTTATTCGACTAATCATTTGTGTTCAATTTGAAATCACATGAATTACTCTGTAATTTCATTTTTTTTTCTGTCTATGAGAGTATAAAACCAGAGCTTACAATCAAAATTCAACTTCACCAGTTCCAGTTTCAACCCATAGAATTGTTTCTTCCAAAACACAGTATTGTTTAGTCAACTGGAGTCCAAGATCTATAAAATTAGAGCTAATTTGATCAAATCCGAAGCTTATTTTTCCCCAAATTTCAACCCTAACGAGCTTGTTTGAACTTAATTGATTGACAATGACATTAACTTGTTCTTCATTCGCTATAGATTTCTTGATATATCCAACGAGGCTCCTTTATCTGGACAACGCAAACGCACAGGCATCATGGGTAGCATTTTTTACTGCTTACTTTTGGCAAGTATAGTATCTTCTTTCTTCAATAAAAGCACATCACCATCAATGGTAAAAGGTCTAATTTCTTTGATTCTTCTAGTCAGGTTATGCCGCTTTAGCTGTAGCAGCTCCATGGATCTTCAGATCCAAGCAAAAGCTGTTATCACAGTGGCTCTGCACATCCACCATTATTCTCTTAGTTGTCACAGGTTCTTACTGAATTCTATTTAAGCTGATCTTTGATAGTTTGATTGACATCAAGTATGATGATATCTATTTTCCTTTTAGGCATATTCCAACAATACATGGTTTATCAAGTCAAGAAAATCAGATTACAGGTAACAACTAGCTCACATACATTTTTTTCATACATAATCATAAGATTGATTTTGATTTTCATTGTGTAGGGTTACTATATATTTAGTCAAAAATTGAAGCATATTATTCGATTGCCATTTGCCAGTATGTCATATGGTACTTGTGCAATGCTACTGGTGATGGTTTGGGAACCCCATATAAGTATCCTTCCAATTTCCATGTTACTCAGGTAATTCATTACTAAAATCTGAAAAGTGAAACCCTAATTTTAAAATTTGGGAATTGGGACTTTCTTACTTAAATTTGTTATAATATATTTCAGGATTATCATGGTGGCTGAAGCTATCTTTGCTGGCTCTTTCATGAGTATCTATATCGGTTAGTTTATTGATTTATTCTACTCTCAACTCTCTTAAAGTACATGACATTATGACAATGACACTCTTGTTTTTGGTATTATTGATTAAATGTTAAATTAATTACAGGAAATGTTCACCAGTATAATTCATTGGATACCCAACCAGATGTTTTAAAATCTTTGTATTCTCCTCTACAACAATCAAGCTCCTTAGAAGGGTTGAGGTATGAGTTAAATATTTTCCATATTTATCTTTTTACATAAATGAGTTGTATAATTAATTACAAATATTATTATTTATAACAGCTATTATGATGGTGGTAGACTCTCTGATCAGCAAATGGCTTTGCTACAATATCAGCAAGAGAACCTTAATTTTTTGAGTGAAGAGGTAACTATAAATAAAAAAAATATAAAATGTTTTTTGCATTTAAAAAGTTGCTATATTCATTTATATATATTTTAATTTTTTTTATAACTTGTAGATTCTGAGGTTACAAGAATGTTTACTTAAATATGAAAGATCTAGTGATGGTGTGACACCTCAGGTAATATTTGCCAATTGCCATCTGTCATTTATTTATTTTTCTTGTTGTATTAAATTCCCATTGAATGTAATTTTCAGGTTGATCTTGCTTATTTATTAGCAGCTCGTGATCAGGAACTACGAACACTTTCATCCGAGGTGAATCTTGATATTTTGTTTTTTTTTTTTACTTTTGTGTTATGGAATATGAAATTTATATATGAAAAAGATAAATATTTTTTTTTTGTAGATGAATCAAATGCAATCTGAGTTAAAACTTGCACGATCTTTGATTGCTGAGAGAGACTCTGAGATCCAACGTGTACATATAACCAACAATCAGGTGAGTTTCTTGATTTTAAATATATAATTAATTTTTGTAAAGATATTAATGCTAATGATGTATTATGTATTATGTATGTATATGTATAGTATGTGGAGGAGAATGAAAGGCTACGTGGCATACTAGGAGAATGGAGTAGCAGAGCAGCTAAGGTAGTTTATTTTTGTTTTATTATTTTTAATATATATATTTTTTGTGTGAAAATTGACAATGATTTTGTTTATATATATTATAAAAAAAATATATAGCTTGAACGAGCATTGGAGGTTGAGAGGATGTCAAACATGGAATTACAAAAAAGGACATCAGCACCAAAAGGAAGGAGCTCCCCCTCCTAGAATACATTATACATGTATAATTTTGATTTAGCATGTAGTTTAACAAAAAAAACAAAAATTGTAACACATCTTTTAGGGTTATAATGAAATATATGTCCTTTGTACACCATTGATCACTAACATTCTAATTGCTTACGTAGTTACGTGACACATATTTTGTCCACCTTGGCATCTACATGGCGATCAATTGTAAACTCTCTCAATCTACAAAAGAACAACAATTTTGGAAAGCGTGGACTTTTTTTTTTTTTTTTTTTTCAAATTAACTTTGAAAAAAAAAAGAACCAAGTATAATTAAAATTTTCAAAGTATAGTTATTTAATGCTAAAGAACAAGTAGATGGTTAGTAACATTCTATAAAAAAAATTGAAAAATGATAGTGAAAGGGCCTGGATTCAAATGGATCTATGTAGGTTTGGGCCTTTGGGCTTATGGCTTTTAAAGTTTAACGAAGCCCATTTCCGCAATTGACGAACAAAATCTTTTGATAAGCTTCGTAATTCGTATCCTCACTACGAACTTCGTTGTTTTCATCATCTATTCTACCCAGTTGTTCGTCATAAGCAGGTATATATCCTTTCAACTTTGAATCTCCTGGGATTCCACAGTCGTCGTTGGGTTGTGATTTGTTTTGATTTAATTTGGGGAACTTGTTATGAAACTCTACCCTTTTAGCTTATGTTTTATAAATACAAATAGTTTACTGGGGAAATAGGAATAGTTGCTTTTACTTTTGATGATTGATTGTAAATTAGATTTTGAAGATGGATGCGGGTTTAAACGGGGAAGAACCCAAATCATGGGATGAGTTATACAGCATAGATTTGATGCCTTCAGAGTTGTTTTTGAAGTTCAGGGAAGAACTACAAGGATTTCGATTAGGTCTTAATTTGGAGGTATCGTATTTGTATTTCATCATACACTTGTTAATTTCCGTTTTCCTTAAATTTCACATCATAGCTAGTTTTCATTCGAAAACTGTGATTCTGTTCCAGTTCTACAACGCCCCGATGAACGAATGCCAAGCAAAGCTGGTAGTGAAGCCATTGTCAAACGAGCGAAGATGGAAGTTCATATACGAGCCTTTACATCATGACATACGCCTTGTTTCCAAGAAGATTCCACTAACCAAATTCCTAAATCTCCAGGTTTAATCAAACATCTCTCTTAAGTCTCATCAAACAATTTCTTCTGAAAAAACTTCAATCAATCAGTAAATCACAGGTAGGAATCGGACACAGCTTTCAGTTGCATGCAACTGGTTGGAAATGGAAGCTTACCACTTGTTTAGGTGGAGATGGTATATCTCGAATCAGGAACAAGACATCTCTAGGGTTGTTCCCTGGTGTTGATCTGAAATTTGGATGGAGGGCAGATTATGTGCTTCCAGAATTCACAGGGCAAGTATCCATTTAAATACATTCCTTCTACTTGATATTTTTTTCTTGAGATTTGAATTATGGATGTGAAGTTAATTTGTGGGATTTTGACAGGGGTGTGGGGACTGGTGAACCATTGATTAACATGAACTCTGGTAGATTAGAAGCTTCACTTGACAGAATTGAGACCATTTTAACTCATAGATCTTCAGGTGATGAGGTATAAACTATAAATCATATATTTTTGAAATGTTTGATAATCAGTTCCATGATTGAATTTGACTCTCAAGATTTGCAGATGCAAGATTTGGAAATGGAGAAACATGTCAATGAAACTGTAAAATCTGATAAGGAAGAATAGTAAGCCAACTCCAAATAGTGTTTGTATAGGTTTTGATATTTGAAAAGAAAAGGGTTAAAAGTCAAATTCAGGTAAACTGTGAGATCTGTGAATTTTAGGTCACTAAGGGATTGTTTCTTTTTGACTTAACGGGTTTAATGAGTTGAGTATTTAATCTGAACAGCTATACCTTATTGTTTTTTTTTGACTTAATCTGGACTGAATGACTTACTTAACAGGTTAAGCCAAAAACTCGGCTTAATTTAGTAAGATGGTATTCTTTTACGTAGTTGTCCTTTCTCTTTCTTCTATCTCCTCTCATGTTAGTATATTGTGAAATTTGGTTTATTGAATGCAAGGTTAAATTGATCCTTTAGTCACATTTACATGCTTTATTCTGTATATATAAAAAAACTTTATGTATATAACATTTTATCCTGACATACATAAACATCTTTTCAGCCACTTTATCCATACATAATTTAATGGAGAAAAAGCAACATCTAAAAGTTTATAACCATTTAGGTGATGTTTCTTCTTAACGTAATGAACTTAATAGATGCAAAACTTTATATATATATAT